TTTTTGGATATATGAAAAACGAAATATTTTTAAGAAAAACGAGACAATTTAGTGTCCCACCATCCCGGAAGCCTAAGTCAGGACAACGAGACTGACTTTTGAAACACAGTAGGTACCTACTTTCCCGTATAATACGGGACGTCTGGCCATCCTATATGTTACACTATCATGCGTTATTGTATAATTTAATCGTTTTACTCATTATTGTTAAATATCTGACATCCAATCACCCATTCTCATGAAAAACTTTATGTGTTACTAAAGAAATCTTAGCTGCCACTGATGTGTTATTTAACCATAGGTGAAATAAATAAAATTAAAAATTATTCGTTCTCTGTATATTATCAACAAATATTTTACTTAAATAATAGTAGGTACTTAAATACTATACTCTAGTCATTATTAATGATTAATGAATAATTATCTAAGAGTTACAACTAAAAATATACGATTAATATACAATTAATCAAAAATTGTACTTGCGGATAATTATTTTTTGTGTGTGATTATAGATATAAGTTTTTAAACTGTACAGTATTTTTGGATTGATAATTAATTTACAAAAAATATGATACAAGTTTTTTAATAAAATATCTATTTATATCTTTTTTTCATCACATAAATAAAAATTAATGACAATAAATAGGTACATCATTTCAATAGTCAATCACCATCATCTAAATATTGTCGAAGTCGTCTTCCAATTAATTTAGGATAAGTTCGATTTCGTTTTTTAAATTCTTTGCTTTGATGTGTTACGGCACCATGCTGAAGTTGAAAATTACATAGAGCATTTAAGGGCTTGAGCAATATATTTTTGTACGATTCATCGTTTTCTAATAATGTTAATGCTTCAATCGCAGTTTCCAAAGTAGAAAGACATCCATCTGTAGGTTGAGTCCTGATAATATAATGACTTTCATATTTGTGCATCAATTTGACCTATGTTAGTAAATAATATGTGTGATTATTTAACTACATATTAAATTTTAAGTATATTAACATACAGCCTGGCAAGACAAAATAATTAAAAAATATACATAAAATACAGTAAAACCTGACTAACATAGACACTCATAGGGCTATTAACAGTTTTATCTTTATTATTTTATGTACAGCAAAATAATTGAGTGATGTATAAAAAAAAAAAGATAATAATTTCATATTATTCTAATGGTTAAAATTAGATATTACAAAATGCTGTATCTATATGGAATATTTACCATATGATTAATGTTATTATTATCTTCAATAAGGGAGTAATTATTATTAGTTGTAAGTAAAAACTAATGTTTTTTACTGCATTTAAAAGTTATGTTTAAATTTGAACTGATATTGTCCATTATCATGCTACCTGGAAAAAATATTACTGTCCAGGTCCATAGTATAAAGAGTCCGTTAAAGACGGATTGAAATACGTTAAAATACATATTATATTTTTAATAGGCCCTTTTTTTCTGTTTTATCAAGTTTCACCAGTTATAAGTGACTTTAAAATATATGTAATAAAACATGACTTATAATCTAAAAATATTTAATACGCAATACCTGATTTATTTGTTATATGATTACATAATACATATCATATAATAGACTTTATAAGACACTGTCTACTGTTTAGAACTCTAGGCGAAATAAATTTATAGAAAAGCAATACTGTAAAAAAAATTAGCCCCCAATTACGAATTGTATCAACAATACAATTACAGCATTATATCCCAACAATTTTCCAGTTCAGTTTAGAAGGTGAGGTATCCTTTATAATAAGTACACACAAATATATCCAATATCACAGATAACTCAAAAATCAATATTTAATGCTTTAAAGGATTTACGCAAACCATCTATGATATTATGCAGTTTTTCGAAGGGAAAAAAATCAAACAAGATATTATCGTTATGACAAATCTAACCTTTACGGGATTGGAAAATCATAGATTATAAAATCAATTATTGACCCAGTATTTAAATATTTTTGATATTAAAAATTTCAAAAATATAAGACGTAAAAATTTTAAATAATAAATCAACTAAAAAAAAAAGCAGAAAAGTAGATAACTACTTTATTGTATTATACTATTATATTAGATTTGTAGCGGTCGTTCGTCATCAAGATACACATTATTGTAACGTATGTCAAAATTCAATGACATATTATTGCACATAAAAAACGATTTTGAGTAAAGACAGTCCGCCTAAATTACCGACTATATTGTATAATGTTGATATATCACTTTTCTTATTTTAATAGTAATTTATTTTACTTGAAAAAAAAATACTATTTGGTCGAATTAATTTTTAACAAAAGCAGCATTGATTATACTTTTAAATATTTTTATAGTAAATATTTATATTACAGTAATTAACTTTATTTCGTTAAACACTTACTATACAACAAAATAGGCATTAGCTTAGAATTAATGTTGAGAGATATATGTCATCTCCATCTAACATACATATACAATATAGAAAACACATGAAGGTGTGGCATACTTTTAACATGTATATTTTAAATGTCATTGTATATAATAAAATGTAATAGTATGTGTAAAAGTACACTACAAATTATTTTTGAATTACAATAAAATAACTAAGATTGTATTCTTTGTTTAAATATTCATATTAAAATTTTAGCTTCAAATATCTATAAAAAAAAGTTGTTAAAACATATTTTTAAGATTTTTTAGGATTCAATTAAAACCACTTATGAGGAACTATACATTACATTTACAAGCTTTAGCTATAAAAATTTTGAGTTTATCATTATTCAGAATTTAAATAATATTCAACTATCACGTTTATTGTTATTCAGGATTAAAATGTTATACAAATTTTGAATTTATTGTTATTTAGAATTAAAATTTTTATCATATTTTATGATTTATAAGTTATAACTATTAAGTAATTTAAATTAATTTTTTTTTTTTTTTTTTTTGATAATGATATACTATACATAACATTTTGTGTTTTGTTTTGTTTGATGATAGATCATATACTTTGTTAATCATTTTGTTTTGTTAATTATTTATGTTTATTGTTTTCCGCTATAATTGCAATTGTTTTTTGTCAAATATAACATTTGTGATTATAACTATTGAATAAACCTACAGTATAGTCAATTAAAATTTATACTAATAAATTATACAATAAAATAAAAAATTATAAATTGTAACCTTGGTATTTATTAATAAACAGTCCTCAAAAACTTTAGCACTGGTAATAATAGTCACAGTGATGTTTGTGAAACTTTATCAAAGATAAATAATAATTTACTAAAGAAAGTTATTTTACAAATTTTTACAATTGTAAATAATACCAACATTGCATTTTATTTGGGTAGGTAGAATGTATGCAATTGTAATAATGAAAAAGGTTCGTATTATGTAATTGTAATGCATCTCCACTAAATTTTTGATTCAAGATAAAGGTATCTGATAATGAGAACTCTCATAATTTATATAGATTTTGGTTATTTATATAGAAATAAATTAAATTGTTTAAATACTTACATGTATCATTGATTGAAGTAATTGTGTATTGTTGTAAATTGCTTTTGCTTGTGGCCAAGTACCATCAAGTATAATTAAATTATGGAGTTCTGTTTCTTTTGGTAGATCAACTATATCTATTGCTTTCTTAGAAGGATATAATAAAACAGAATGTTTGGATGATAATATATCCCATAAGCCAACATGTCTGAAAAAGAATATAATTCAAATGTTATTTTTTTTTAATAATATACATACAATACCTATAACTACAGTCATAACTCAATATTTAAAAACAATCACTACAAATAAATTAATAATTGAAAAAAAAATTAAGCAAATAATAGTACATATACATTATACCTACAGTAAAAATAATTTAAAGGCTAAAAATAACACAATGAAAGTTAAACTGTGAATTATGTAAAAATTAAATATTTAAGTGTATTTTGAAACAAAATAAAATTACTGATTTCTAAAGGGAGGACGTACAGATTTTATTAAGATAATATAATAACTGATCTGGGTACTAAAAAATATGAATTCCCAAACTCAAATGTAAAGATAATTGGATAAAAAAAAATTTTTTGATAGCATGATAGTATTAAAATCAATCAATAAAAGTCATAATAAAAATTAAACATAAATTTTTTTGCGCATACCAAAAAATCTAAAATTTTTATTGTAAAGAAAAAGTCTGTAATTCAAATATAAACATATCTAAGTTATTTCATCACATTTGTTGTTATTCATATACTTTTAAAAAATAACTAATTCAAAACTTATGTCAATATGAAACTAATAAAGTTAATTATTGATGAAAACAATAATAGTTATAACAAATATTTACTTTTTTGTAGGAAACTTTTTCCCTTTATAAACAACACAACTGTCTTCTGCCAATCCTAATGTCAACATAGGAGCTGTACGAAGACTTCTTTTTTCTTCAGCTGGGTGTTGCAGTAAGATAATTTTACATTTTGGTTTCAACCTTGTTTTAGGCAAAGAATTACACCAACATACATTTTGAGGTCGCCTGAAAATACAAAAATAAAAGTATGTATAATGTGTATACTATATAAATAAAATATTGATATATTATAAAAGTTTAAAATAAATGTATTATTTATAACAAAATAACTAATTAAATAATATGATTTCAAAGTAAACAAATGCCATTAGACACAGCATACTTATACTTGGTATTTTAAATTTAACTTACTCGCATGAAAAACATATTTGGCGCATTTCAGGAGGATCTGCAGGTAAATTTATTAAATCGTCCCAAACATTATCAATCTCTTCATTAGACATGATGACCAAAATGTTATATTTGTTTAATTCAATGCTTGTTATTATATTTTCTATATTTAAATAATATTTGTTCATTTTAATATTAATAATATATTATTCAAAACAATTAAATAATACTTTTATCCGTGAGAAATAATAAATGCTATGGTAGTAACTTACCAAAATTACAAAACTAAAATATATTATGCATCTGATTTATCAATAAAAATACACAGCAAACACTGCTGCCATACAAAATATAGTTTCCTGAAACAAAAAAATATATTTCATTAATAGAAAGTATGTTTTTATACAACTGATATTTACATTTAATAAATAAATATATTTTTTTTAAATCTGCTATCAAAAAAAAAAATGTAATAATATCAACATATTTTATTAAAATTATGGATTGCTAATTCTAAACATTAATACTATATAAAATTAACTATATAGATAACGATTAAATAGGTAGAAAGAATTAATTGTTTTAGACTTTGTTCGTAAGTAAAATTATTAATGATAATTGTTAAGATTATAACTTATGAATTAAAATGTATATGATTGTATTCTAGAGGATCAATTTTGAATAGTTTATTTCATATATTTTTTGGTTTATAAAATGTTATTTTTTTAAAATCACTGAAACCTTTACGGCTTCATTAATATTTATATATATATACAATATAGGTGTTGAGCAAATATATACTTAAATATTTAAAGAGCTTACATTTAAAAAATGATCAGAAGCTTGTGTGTCAGTGTCAGCATCCCAAATACAACGAGCTCCAACTTTTGTACCAGCACCGTGTCGTTCACCCAAAACAACTTGAACCATTAACTTGTAACGGCTGGCCAAACACTGATCTATAATTTAAATAGTTTATCACACAACTGCAAATAATTATTTATTTTATTTACTAAACTATAAAAAAATATTAAAGCAATTATAATTTATACCATTTAAAATATCTAATTTGTTTAATCAAAAAAGAAATTATTTTAAAACTAAGATAATTTAAAATGCCATTTTACTGTTAATGTATTTTAACATAACCAATGAATATATTGAATTTATTTATTTATCAATGAAAATAATAAAACCTTTAAGTTTATCCTTAATTTCACTTGCAATAGTTTTGCTAAGTACTTCAGCTTGAATTTGATTATACTCTTTATCTTTTAGATATTTTAAAAGAGTTTCTTGAATAACTTCTTTTGCTAAATGTGTTTTAAATCTAAAAAAATTAAAATTTTATATTTATGAATACAGTCATGTACAATATATTATCTAAATAAGGTATTGTGGCTAATTAATAAATTATTGTTAAAAATCACTAATTGATTGAAAACATTTGGCTCAAATAGCATAATTACTTTATTGCATCATCATAAAATGCTTCAAAAATAATCAAAACAACTCTTTTTTTTATTGTAAGAATATTAAATTAAAATTTCGTGAGGTGTTTTTACTACATGCAACAATCTTATCTTGGAATTGAATTATTTTAAAGATTGATAAATAATAAAAAATAGTAATCAATATCATAAAATAATGTAAGATTACAAAATAAAAGTAATAATGTTACATTAGTATTTTAAAATTTATCTATTTATATTTTGATATACCTATGTATTAATATTATTTCAAATTTAAAAAAATTAAACTACACATGATCATGTAATGTATACATACTATACTTAGTGACTTAGTGTTTAAATATTATTATGCATAATCACATCAGCAATAAAAATGTATTGAAAATAACAAATATTAAATAAATTTTTATTTTTAAAACTTAATAGTTAGTATATTTAAAACGTATGGACTAGAATGGTACATTTTATTAATATAATAATTTATTATACAACTTACTTTTGATTGTGTGCAGGCCTGATTTGAAAATTATGAACGAGTGATTTGTTATTATCGTTGATAGCTACTTCGTTTTCCGCTTCAAGTTTCGTTGACATAATTTTTAAACGTATAAAATATTACGTCTGCCGCTAAAACGTATCTTTGGATTTCAGACATGTGAAAACATAAAATTTAAAATATCGTTTTATTATTTTGTTCGCAGTTCTTATCTTATCAATAAATAGCATATCATCGCAGAATACGATACGAGTTTATTTGATTATTATCACGGACTAAAATAATCTTCTTCTTCTTCTTATAATATAAAACCAAAACGAGCTTCCCGAAAAATCCGCCAGAATCGGGCACTTTAGTGTACTGGCCAATCGAAAAATTAAATTTTTTCTTATCGTCTTTCTCATCTTTTTTTATTAATATGCGATTTACAGTTTCGTGACACGCGAATCGTAAAAATCGTATCGCTTAAACGACGTATAATGTAGTATTCGTCGCATCTCTTAAACGGTGAAAGTGCTCGAGATTTGGTAACGATTTTCAACTCAAACGGTAGTCGATCGGTGTTAGGATAGGTTCCCTGACGTTAGGTAGGCAGGTTCGAACCCCGTTCCGGCGAAATTCGGGCGGCTCCATAAGAAACCGTGTATAATGGACTATTTGCATTTTTTTTTTTCATTTAATTCGATCGTTATTAATTGCCGTTTTCGTTTTGATATCCAATCTCACACTACTACTCATAAAATATTTTTCAAATTTTAAAAATGATTTTTGATCTCACACGTTTAATTTTATATTGCTCGATTGATGATGTCAAAATATATTATATTACAATATACTTTACACGGACATTAAATCACACAATAGTATTCGATTAAACCAATTATAGTTATTGCTAATAGTCTGCACGATTCAAATGTACATTTGTGATATGCAATTTATATTATAGCCCGAGAACGTTCTATTGATGACGATACAGTTGTTTCACTCGGTTTTGACCGTGAATTCACTATTTTATGTGTTTAGCCTTTCAGTCGTTTACATTTGAAAGATACAGTGGAAAAACAGTTGCACATTTTTTTTTTTTTTTGATTTTTAAATATTTTGTCATCACAGAAAGTGTATATTTCTTTTCGATATCTAACCATCTTTAAAATATCAAAAAAAATATTAATTATGTATAGTTTTTTGATTTTCAACTCGCTAACGTTTGACATGTATTTTCATTAATACGTTTAAAATCTCTCTTTTACGCTCACATCGCCTACTTGAGAGGTTCAAACGCGTTTAACTGGATTTTCAGTAGTGATCACTTGAAAAATCGAGCGCTTGATTCGACTTAAACTTTTTTGCGTACTAAACAGCACAACGCCTTCGACGTCAGTATGACAATCCGCTGCAGGCGGATTGCCCTGTCAGGAATCGATATTCACTGGACGATGACTGATAACTAGACACTTAATTACCTTTTCGGAATGTATTTATTTATTTTCCATGCACAAAAGCACAGGGCAAGCTACGGGACAAGGTGTATTACACCTGTGAATTTAATGAAATGACCGACCACTAGACGCTCGAATTAGACTTTTATTATTTACGCGTTTAAAACGACACCGCCAAAGTGTAGAGCCACCAAATCAGAAGTACCAACATCTCAATCGTCGTTATCACTGGTTTTGCCTGCTAGACTTTTCTAACTGCGGTATTCTTATGTCCTTTCTCCGACCTAGGAAATTCACTTCAAACGATTTTCAGCTACCTAGGGTATTCACATACAGCGAGTTTTACCGACCTAGGGTATTCACATACAGCGAGTTTCACCGACCTAGGGTATTCACTTATAGCGAGTTTCACCGGTGCTAGTCTAATAATCTAAATTCTACATATTTTTGATTTCAGTATAATGAAACGTTATAAATAAATACGATTTATAGGCGGTCAGCGAACAGTGGCGTAAATTCAATAAAAAAAACTGTTGGTGCTGAATCCTTTTATTTTTTAGTTTTTCCACAATTTTCATACATTTTAAGGGATCAAAACTGGCAACTGGGAGTACCTATATACTATATGATCACCGTCCACACAAGTTCACCCAATTACGACTGAGTAGGGGCTGTTGACAATAGATTTTTTACACTCGGGGCCCCCTTTAGGCTTTAGGCCTCTTATAACAAGTAGTAAGAATTTTTTTTAAATAGTGAATTAAGTATTACGTTATTATTACGGTCAGATAGATGGCGTTGTTAATAATGATACAAACTATAAGTGCAATAGTTTTTCTCGATCTCTCCTCCTTTAAGTTTCCCTTATAGGTAATACTCAAAGACTGCGCCCAACCAATAGGTAACATTTTATAACTTAAAAATAAATTATTAATGATTCCTAAAAAAATTGTGTCCAGACCTGAATGCCTTACTGTCTTAACCTGTGAATACCATTTAAGTTTCTTTAAATAATGTTTTTTTTTTTTTTTTTTACAAAATAATTACATAACATCAATTAACATCGTTATTAATTATTAAAATATTTAATTTTTACATCTCGAAATGTGTCTAATATAGATTGTGCACATGAATTTTTAATAATTTTATAATAACAACAACTTCTGTAGTGTTAGATATTAAATTTTCAAAAATCATTATTAAATCAAAAAATTTGTCAATTTGCTCAGAATTAAAAGTGATTAAGTCTTATTTTTGTAGTGAAGGTTGCCTTACAGGTTTATTGTTTAAAGTTTGAAGGATACAATTTCTATAGATGTTTTGCGAGATGCATGTACTGACGTATTGCGTGTTGAAATAAATTATTATGTTTCATGATTAGGTACAATTTTTGTATCTTGTCACTGTGTAATTTAATTTATGTTTTTTTTTTTTTATGAATTTACTGAGATCAACGGTGTACAGTTTTATTTTTAAAACACACAAGTTAGGAAAGGTGGTTTTAAAAAGTTTGTATTAAATTTGGAAGTTAAAACCTATTTTTATATTAACTATAAGTACCATTAAAATTGTGAATTATTATAATATGGGATATAAAAACAAGATTTACTGTAACGTCATAAAAAAATGATGATATATAAGCACATACTTGAAAAAAAAAATTAAAAATATACATTATATAAGTATTAAGTATTCCATTCGAATATTTATTATATTCATAATATGGTAAATTTAAAAGTAAACAATTTAAATTAGAATTGGCAATGGCCAATGATAAAAAAATACCATGAATAAAGATTAGAATATGAGCAACTCTGGGGAAAAAATTAATTATTATATTATAAACAATTATTTTAAATACAATTTATTAGTAGATATTATAGTAGCATAGTAACTATATTAACTATATTACAATATTATATATAATGTCCTTAAAATCTCTACTTGTGAAAAGGAAAATATTTTCGAGATGAAATATATTTTTAGGAAACATTTTGAATTCCTTTAAACTTAGGTGTTCCTTAACAATTGTTAGTATTAAATATTAATACTATGTTATCAAAATATGCGTGCACATTATATAATATGTGTATACATATATAATATACATAATTATATATATATATATTATACATTATATAATATATGCTTCAAAGTTATATATTATTGTTTTAAATTGACATCCCTAAGCATTTTTTCAAGGTTTACTTCATTTAGCGTCATCAAAATAAATAATATTCAAATAACTTATAAAATATGAATTAATGACTCAATAAGCAAAAATGATCGAAAAAAATATAATTATATTAATAAATTAATAAATAATAATTAATATTTATAAGAATACAAATAAATTCATCTTCTGGTATAATGGCCAGCGTCATTTGTTCTGAAATTAATATATTTTGAGATACCTAAAATAATATTGTAAAACTAAAATTATTATAGATACTTAATATTTGTATACTGAAAAATACCTTTAAATTATTTACTGTTGCTATGAACAATTGGTGACTCCTTCAAGTTTAAATATAATCCAGATTTCAATAAAGTATAAAAAAATTACTGTAAAATTGAAAAGATGACCCAAAAATGCTAAATAATGACCCTAAATTCAAAAAAGTACAAAAAATGCAAAAATATACAAAATAAAAACTATATATTTGAACTCGTAGATGACCAAATCACATTTTGTGCTTGAAAAGCTATATCCTGTAAATCCTAAAAAAAAATGCAAAATCCTATACTATCTTAGCCTTAGTTATAACTTTTAGCTAATAAATAATAGACAATAAATATCTAGAATAATTATTAGTACTTATACTAAATAAAATGTATATATTGGTAAATAGGAAACATTTAATCGTAAAACTTGTGTTTTATATGCAATTTTAAATTTCACTGTTGTAACTTGTAACTAATGCATATAAACTAACTTATAATAGCATGCCTTAATATGCTGAAACATTTTAATTTTTAATAAAAAAAAAAATTCACTGATTGTAATATTGTGTATCGTGTAGAAGTAGATCAACGGTAGGTGCTTTATCGTACCTATACCAAATATTCAAATATTATATTACATATTTACACAATTTTCTTTATTATATTATTTTTGTATTATATAGGTTATACTTTTTTGGGTGTAGAGAAAATGAGTATCATAAAGGTATTTATGTACCAATATTATTTTAAGATGTTTTCATGTAGTATTTGTTTAATATTTTTATTTGATATCGTTATTAAATATAGTAATAATTCATAATTGATATTCAACCAATTAACTATAAAAAAAATATCAAATTATTGGTACAATAATAGATAACGCATATTAAATTATGTTTGAAAAAGTTTTTGATTTATTCTTAATAATATAAAGTAAGTAATGAACCTGAATTCTATATATATTTTTATTAAGTTTACATAAAATTTATACTTACCAGTACATTTTTTTATGGTTGAATAATCTGTTATTTTTTTCTGAGTCATCACAAAAACTTTCCAAAGTTTATACAGTTAACAGTTATCTAAAGGTTTGTTACCAAAATAAAAACATAGAAAATGGTGAAGCAAAATTTTTGTAAAAATATTACATTTATTATGTTAATAGTATTTAATAATAATAATAATTATATTTTGTCATATACCCATCTTTCGGTGTAATATACTTCTATCGACACTTGAGTTATCAAAAGACCATAAATTAATCGGTTTCAGTTGGCTCTCAAAAGTCGATATCGTTACCTAATTGCTTAGACTTTCAATCCTCAAAGACCATAAATTA